AAAACAATTTCTGTATAGACTGCTATCTATAATTTTCAAAATTTCAACTAGTATGTCATATTTTTCTTGCATTTCTTTCTTTTTTTTTTTTTTTTTTTTTTTTTTTTTTTTTTTTTTGTGCTGGGGATCCAAGTCATGACCTTGTGTTTGCCAAGCAGGCACTTAAGCTGCTGAGCTAAACCCCCAGCTTTTTCTCGCATTTCTAAACTGGACTAGCTTACTTGACTAAATCTTTCATATTTTATTGGTGTTCTTTGATATGAACCAAATTTTCTAAAAAAAACCTAAATACACTTAACAATATAGTATTTCTACTATTATGGAAAAAAAATGCCAGGAAAACAGATTCAAAGGAAAATTGTTATAAAATTTACTCCCAATTTATCAATTAAAACACAAAGAAATGGAATAAACTAATCTCATTTTCCTATATTTCTTCATTTTAAGCTACAAAATTAAAACATAATACATACTGTTTCATGCTTACATGGCAAACCAATGACACTGTTTCCTGTTTGATACCAATTTTTTGATTGGCTTTGTTAAAAAATTATCCACCAATTAGAATGAAAGAATATAGAAATATGCACTATCGCCACAACAATGACTTTATCATACAAACATTTAGCTTTTTAAACATTCAATGTACAGTTACCCTATTCCTCTCAGTGTACCTCAACCCAAGGAAAAGGAAAACAGATATATTCTAAATTCTCAAATAGTCATAATAAATAAAATCTGAACATAGGAATATGCTACCCTCAGCACATACATGTAGCTCGTAGAATACACTAAAACAGAATTTATTTGAAAGGACAAAAGACAAGCAAAAATAATTTTCCAATTGCTAACCTGCATACTGGATGCCTGAAAGGTTATTAAACAAATTCTTACAAGGTATTGCTATCAGCCACCAAATCTGTAATTTATACTATGTTATTACAGATGGTGCACAGTTTACAATATATTTTGAAATTAAATAAAAACTGGCTAATGGGGATGGTGCTGAATGTATTAGTAACCACATATATCATTACCTTGACACGGCGTTTTCTGGATAATGTATCTGAGTATAAAAATAGTTGTATTATTGCAGATATTACAAATTACCGAGGCTAACAAACATTATAAACACTTCAAGGATGACTAATTTCTAAAAATAACAAAGTTAAGCAGAGCTTAGACGGCAACCTGGCTTTTTCACAGCTAATAAAACATGTCTTCATAGAGAGAATTCTATGATAAAATGTTTTACAATAAAATGCTTTCGATCTTCCTATCTTGTTAGCGATTTAAAAATATGTATTTTTTTAAAATCACCAACACATTAAATAGTGGGGCAACTATAAATATTAATACAGAAAGAAAATAATATAAAATCCCAAAATAGTATATCTGTATGTATTTACAAGTGTTTTTCACCTAAGAACTGTTTAAGCAACTTCTTGAATATAACGAAAGCAGATTAGCCTATAAAGTTCATGAATATATAAAATATAGATGTAACTTTAACATTGACAGAGTTGAAAAGAAAGTATGCATACATTTCTTCTAGAAGAACTGCTTAATTCTGCTGCGAATGTTCTGTAAAAATACTGTTCCCTTTTATTCACAATGAGTGTCAATGATTATCTTTTTCTCTTCAAACTTGTGACTTGGTGTTTAAGTGAAGTGTAACTAAGCTGAGACACAGCTAGAATATGTGAGGGTCACAGTCTCCTTTCAAACTCCGAAACACTGAAATTTTGGGTAAAGTTATGCCAGGGACAGATCTGTGAACCTTGATAGACCTTCACTGACCATCAGAAGGAGACTGAGCAATCCACATCTGCAGTTGGCTAATGTTTTTCACTATTTTTCCCTTGCCCCCAACCACATCGTAACAAAGGTGAAAAGCATTTCAATAGTAAAAAGCTTTCACTTCAAAGAACAGTCTCTAGCTGTTTATCCTCACTTCTGCCTCTTCTCATTGCATTCATTGTGCGTATAGGTTTTATAGCTCTACAGAAAAGAGACACGGTTATGGACAACAGAAAATACAGAGGTGCACAGAGACATAGAATATGAACAAATAAACACTGAAACAAAGACGTTTCCGGAGATAAAAAATTGCATATGTATACAATGGTGATATACTGATTACTTTTGTTTTCCTGATTGGAACAATAATGTTCTAGCCTTTCTAGAACAATGTGGAGTGCTGCAAAGACTTATTATTTTATGTTAGTTTTCTATTTAATCCATGTAAACACCATGTAAAAATCATTGTTTAAAATGACCACTGTACAGTTATATATACTACCATATAAAGGTAATTTAAGTGGCCCTGAATATAGGTAGTATTTTTGTTTATATATTAATTATATTGATAGTTGTTTATTTATATACTAACATTAAGCAATTTCTGGCAAAATTCGAATACTGAGGTTCAAATGAAAATTTTTAATGTCTGACGTTGACAGTAAATACGATTATACATTTTTCTTACTTAGTGCCCAATGGTTTCTAATAGAAGATAAATAAAGGGTACAAGAAAAATGGATGATTTACCAAATACCAAGTATATCAGAAGTTATATATGTATTATTCCATTCATTGTTTAAAATGACTATGAGAATATTCTTTTTTCCTTTTTTTTTGCCAGTACTAGGGATTGAACTAACAACCTTGAACTTGCCAGGCAGGTGCTTATGATACTAAGCTAAACGCCCAGCCCGTAGAATTTCCATCTTATAGGTGAGAACTACTCTTACAAATGTTTAAGGTACTGTTCAAGGCTTGGGGAAAGAAACACAAGCCTTTTCATACCCTTAGCATTGAGGATAGTTTTCTGGCTCAATTTTGTGTTAAGAAGTAAAAGGGTTTCAGAACTAATAGGAGGCACAGCTGGAGTTTTATTTCACTTCTGTGAGACTTCAGAACTCAATAAGTCTGTCTGAAGAACAGAGGACAGAGAGGAGAGCAGCTTTTTTCTACCTCACCTACTCCAAATTAACAGGAGCGGTAAGAGGCAACTCTGTGTAGTGAAAGATCAGAATTGGGCATCTTCACCACTAGAGCTCATGAAAGCTAGGTCCTTGATTTTAAGTTACCACTGTATCACTTGGTAGCTGTGTGAGCTAAGTCAAGTTACCTCCCAATGAAAGTTTCACTTTTTAATTGCAGAAAGATAATGATAATGATGACAATGATAATAATAATAATAATATGTAATTTTTTGTGAGAGTTGAGTGAAGCAATATAGCTGATCACATTTATGTATGGCCATAAAATGAGTAGCGATCATCTTTATTTGTTTTGGAGTACAGAAAGATATTTAATTCATTTCTCATAAACGTTAATTCCCAATGATCAGAAGGCAAACAAAAGTGGACATCTGGACAGTACAGAAGGAGATACTATCAGAGGGTTGTCTGAAAGCCAAAGTCCTGTATCTGTGACATACATTTCAACTGATAGCAAACTTTTGCTTCCAGAGGTCAAATAAGGTTATCAGATTTTGATGACCAGAAACGTTAGCTCCAAAAGGTAGTCTTTCATATAATATTTATTTCTGCTATTTTTAAACTGTTTTCCTTCAACAAGGGTAATTTTACATTGACCATTTGAACATCAATTGCATGTATAATTTTTTCTCAGTATCAACATCAAGTGAAACAATATTCATGGCTAGTTAATGGGTTTTGTTAGAATTTTATTTTTTAGGTACTGGGAATTGAACTGAGGACCTTGTTATCACTAGGCAGGTGCTATACCACTGAGCTATATCCTTGGCCCTTTGTTGTTATAATTTACTAAAACAAAAATTAACTGGATGGACAGGTAGTATGGTAAAGGAGATTAATATTTTAAGGTTATATTTGTCATGCATAGAGCTAGATTCTTTTAAAATCTTATTTCTTTTATCCTCAAAATAATCTTATAAGGGAAGTCTTATTTTGCTTTTTTAATAAGATGTCTAATTTGAATGATCGTAAAATATATGGATAAACAGAATATAATGGCTTTCTCCAGGCAATTAAAAACCCAAAGTTCACTAAAGAGGCTAAGGATTTATTTTAGCTATTTGCTTCCCTACAGTGTTCTGAAACCTTATGAGTGGTGGCAAAGGCAGCTGTGTCTCGGTCTTCACTGTAATTGCCACCAACATTCTATATCATAATATTTTCATCTCCTTGTAAAGCCAATAATTAGCAGCAAACCTTAAATTGTAAATAAAGATACATGCAGACTTAAATGTACCAGTTTTCATAGACATTCAGTGATATAATATTAAGTTGTACAAAACACGTCATGCTTCCATACTGAATAAGTATATATATTTTTTAATTTGCAAGGATAATTTCTAAACTTTTATATTTGTGGTACAAAAACTTTAGTCTAAATAAACAAACTGAAAGAAATCTAAATGACTAAAACAGTATGAGTATATTAGCATGTTTGTGTAAAAATTACCTTTATCTAAAAAATGAAAGCACATATTCATAAAGTTTTTTTCATTTATATGACAAATAATTCCCTTTAACTAGAGGTCACAGCTTGTGTTTTGTACAATAAAAATTGTATAGACTAGGGAACTGTCAGGAAAAAAAAAAAGGATTTCTTGGTCTAGGAAAGCAGACTTCCATTTTTTAAATGCTCATGCTGACTACATTAAAAATGGTTTTTAAGTACAAAAGCAATGTAGCCAAAAATTCCTGTAATTAAAATAATTATGAATGGAAATGAATTTCCGTAAGTGGTAAAAACAAAAAAGAAAGTATGCAAGGGTCCTTAGAAAACAAGCAAACCCAGTTGGTTGCAAAGACATCTCAACAGGCATTTTAAAAATCTGATTGCAACGTTGTAATAATTGCAGCTTAAAAGAATAGCGTAATAGCTATTTATATTAATGCACGCTAAGCAAAAACTACGAAATCTCTGACCAAGATTTCAAAGAAAGGGTGTCACATGAGCAGGTGAGACAACACAGAATGTCACACGAAAGTCTAAGACCTTACCGTGAACCACTGGCGCTGAGAGCATCGTGATGATCAGGAGCTGGAGTGGCCACATGGCTGGGCAGCTGCTGTGAGAGTTTCTCAGAAACGAGCGTTTCATACGTGCAACCAAGCAAGTGTATTTCTGGTTCCTCTTCTGTGTTCCAAAACAGATGAATTGGAAAAAAAAACAAAAAACAAAAACAGAGCAAACAAACAAACAAACAAAAAAGGCTCAAAACGAGAAAAAAATGTCTTCAAAAACGGTAACACCAATATCCCAAATCAGTAACCTGTAAAAAAACACACACAAAAAAAAAGGGCGGGGGGGGGGGGAGATGTTATTAAGTGAACATATTCTCATTTTAATTTTTGAAGCATCCTTTTTATTTCCTGACTAAAACATGTCTTCCTCCTGCCTTCATTTTCATAAGCACAAATTGTACATAAAATGAGTAACCTGAAAGACATTACTTATTCATGTAAACATACTGTGTATAGCCAATGCAAAACCAGAATGAAACAACTCCATGTCGATACTGAACAAATTAACATAAATGTACTATTTAAATATGTATAAGAAGATTTGAGGCCTACTTTGTACCAGTATTTTCCAGAAATATAATTTTTACTAACACTAAAATGTTAAATTTTCATTCTTTCCCATTGCTATGAATAAATGTTTAAAAGAAAGTTAAGTGTATCCTTTATTTTCATTTCAAGGTCTCACAGTCATTCAGAAATAATTCTACATATTAACTATTTTAACTATGTTGCTTTTCTAAGTATCATTTTTCCATGATCACAGACTTTAGTTTACACAGGATCTATTTTTAATTCTTTTCAAAGCTTTGTTTTTTCTGGCAGTGCTGGGGATTAAACACAGGGCGTTGTGCATGGCAGGCCAGCACTCTACTACTGAATTATATTAGCCCAACACGCTAATTTTTATTTGTCCAAAACAGTGACGGTGAACTTTTTAGAACTTTGAGAAATAACAAAAAAAAAGCCCTATGAGGCACCTGTGTCATACGTTCGCTACCACTGGTCTTAAACCTCAACAGTGAAATTCCAGGCAAAGTATTACCTAAATAATATACACAATTACAAACAAAATGGTGTTTCTCTCATGTCATTCTAAACAGCTATTTTTGTTTTTGTTTTTGTTTTGTACCAGGGATTAAACCCATGGCCTCAGGCAGGCCAAGCAAGGCCCTTGTGAGCTAAGCTAAATCCCCAGCGCCATAAACAGCTTGTTTTTTTTTAACAGTAACTATAGATACAGACTAATTGAAATGAAATTCAAACAGGATAATTTCAGTTAACAGAAGCATACTGAGTCGCCATTGATATACGAAGCACTGTACTGGGAATATAGGACAGATTCCCAAATACGCCATGCATCCTAAACTCTAGGATGCTGACATTTAACATGAAAAATCTTGGATGCTAAATGTTTTAATAATGATGAGCAAAGGTGTTCAGTATGTGTAAAACATTTAAAAACTTCAGCACAAACAGTCATTTTACCGAACCAAACTCGTATTTGCCTTTTCTTAGAATTTGCATGAATACGCATTAAGAAGCCAAAACACCAAAACAGGATCATTCAAATTAGAAGTCACTGTCTTTACATCTCCACCTTTAAAGCACATGAATCAGGTAAAATTAGGTTATCTTAATAAATTTCTTTATCTTATCGTGCTTGATAAACAATATGTAAGAAAAAGATAATTATAGTGCGTAACAATGTTTAGCTTCAGGGCTGGGGATTTAGCTCAGCGGTATAAGCGCCTGCCTTGCAAGCAGGCAGTCGTGAGTTCGATCCCTGGTACCAATAAAAAAAGAAAAAGACCCAAAAAAAAAAAAAAAAACAATGTTTAGCTTCTAGTGCTTACCAATAATTTCAGATCTTAAGTATAAAATTTGATTTTTTGAAAGTGATAGGGAAAATGAAGATAGTGTACTGAAGAAAGTACCAGAGATTAAACATCTGTACCAAGACAATTTTAAATTCGCAAATTTTGAGTGTTAATATGACAACATAAGTAGAAATTTCATGTGATAATATGACAGTCATAGTTTCAACACAGGCACACTCAAAATATTATCTAAAATCTACCTCCAGACAGAAAACATAAATGAAGTCTCTATTTAAACTTGAGTCACATCTCATTAAGTATATGCAAATATTCCAGGTTAAAACAAAATGAACAAAACCCGTGAAATCCAAAACACTTCTGATTTCAAGTACTTTGAGTAAGATGCATTAAGCCTGTAATAAGGCTCATTTTGTAAAGATAAAAATCACAATCTTCTTGAAGTATATACCTCTATCAGAAGTCAAAGTTACACAGATATATCATGTTTTGTGATACTACTAACTCATAGCAGAGGGTGTAAGAGTATCGGTTTGGAGCCAAACTGCTTGATCTCAGTTACTGATTCTATTCCTGCTGACCGCAGGTCATCACTTAATCCTTTAGTACCTCAGTTTTCCTAAATATATAATGAGAAGAATAATACTACTTAATTTTATATGGTGATATGAACATTCAATAAATTAAAAATTCTAAGTTTTAACTACACAAAATATATATTGACCTGATCATGGCCAGTATATGATAAGTGGGCTATAAATAATATATAAGAAAAAGATATTATATTTTCTGAATATTATTTTTTTTTTAAAAGAAACATTTTTATGATGACTTCTTCCAATTTATGTGTTGTAATTCACGTCATTAACCCAATCCATGTTTATATAAAAGGGATTAAAGTCATTTTTCAAACAAAGGTTTTTCAAAAACACCCAAAGAAAAAACTCAAAAGAACAAATATTAAGGATGCATGAAGTCACATATGGAAACAAAACATGCCAATGACTTACTAATAAATATTGTACAGTAGGGCTGGGGATTTAGCTCAGCGACATTAGCACCTGCCTTGCAAGCAGGCAGTCGTGAGTTCAATCCCCAGTACCGATAAAAACGAAAAAGACAAAAAAAAAAATAATAAATAATAATAAATAAATAAATAAATATTGTACAGTAGTAATCACATACACAGCAATAATCTATGACTTTTAAAGGAATAGATGAAACCTTTCTCAAGTCTGTCTTCCCCAAAAGCACTTCTACCCGACAGATTATGAATGGAAGCTCTCTAAAGCAAGTAACTTTTGGAAAAAAGATCAGCGAATCAATATGAAAGATGACTATAGCACAACCTTCTCCTTTCTCTACTCCCTAAAACAGTCATAGGCTTGATGTGACAGTCACTGAGAAGAAACCAAATGGATTTTAAAGGAGTTTAGAAAGAATAAAATATATAAAATTTTAAAATGCTAAGTATAATGTATGACACTGAAACCCAAAAATGTGCTATTCCTTTAAAATTTTCATGCTTTGTTAAAAGAATTGCATGTATTATTTCTCAATTTAGGGAACGTGTGTAGCTATGCAATGGAACTTTAAAGCACGGTCAGTCTGGGTTTTACTATCACTTATGCTAACTTTTAAAAGTTAAGCAGTTTCTCTTAAAAAAATTTTGACTCTGAAAAGCCAAGAAATCACACTAAGGCTCAAGAATATTTTATTTCTTTCAATATTTTTACACTTAAAGAACCTCATATTAGGGGCTTGGCAAACACGAGATCATGAGTTTGATCCCTAGCACCAAAAGGGGAAAAAAAAAAAAAAGAAGAAGAAGAAGAAGGGAAAAAAAAAAAAAAAAAAAAAAAAAAAACTCGTATTAGCTACTGGTAAAACTTTTAATCATTAAGATTAATTAGCAATCATAAGGTTTTAAATGATTTATTAATGAATATTCTTAAATAGTAAAATTTCCCTTTGGAGACTCTTAGGAGAGAAATTTTCAATCATCTTGTTCAATAGTTTCACAATTGTTTAATTCAACACATTTGCAAAAACATGTTTAGTTGGCAATTTCTTCCAAGTCTGCACTGCTTTTATTCAAGGGGATATGCAAAAATATACAAGATACAAATCTTGTCTGAAAGAGGAGGACACATAAAGGAGCAGGAGAAACAGCAACACTTTTACAGAGAGAAGGGGAAACCATAAGAGATGCAGGAAATGCAAGGGATAAAGTCTAAATCCATATCAGATTTTAAAAAGAAAAATAATGTATTGGAAAAAGAGGCCATAACACAGTTATGAAAATCCATTTGTTGGTGGGAGTATAAACTGGTGCAACCACTGTGGAAATCAGTGTGGAGATTTCTGAAAAACTAGGATAAGAGGTCACATTGGATCCAGCTATTCCCTTCTGGGCATTTTCTTAGAATTAAAAACAGCGATACATGTGCACCCATGTTTATAGCAGCATAATTTGTAATAACTAAATCTTGGAAACAACCCAAATGTCTAACAACCAAGGAATAGCTTAAAAAGATGTGATCTTTTTATACAATGGAGTGCTACTCAGCCATAAGGAAGGATAAACTTGGCACTTATAGGTAAATGGATACAACTTGAGATCATATTCATATGTGAAATTAATCATAGTCACATGTGTAAACATCATATTCTTTCCCTGGTGTGTGGCTGAAAGAGTAAACAAGGTCCAGTATGTACAATAGATATTGCAAAATAGGAAGAAATTGTTTAAAAGAAAAGAGGAACTAGGGTGGGGGGAAGTGGAAAGGAAGAAAAAAGGGAAAAAACTGCACTTTCTGCTTTTTTTTTTTTTTTTTGTCTTTTTTGAGACAGGGTCTGCTATGCAGTTCAGGCTGGACTTGAGTTCACTTTGTAGCCCAGGCTGGTCTCGAACTCTCAACGATCCTCCCACTTCAGCCTCCCGAGTGCTGGGATTACAGGCATGAGCCACCACATCCGGCTTGCATTTTCATAACATGGTGTTTGTCACTGTTTCAAACTTGCATAACACCTAGTTTCTCTTAGATCATTGAAAAAACAAGATTTATTCTAATATCATTTGGAGAAGTTTCTATACCCATGTCTTATACTCTGAATAACTACTTTGAAGATGACAATGTGTAATGTGTTAAGGATTGCTATACTCCTATTATCTTGTTTTGAAATTTTTTTCACATTTTTTTTTTAAAGGAAATCCAGAAGACTTGCGAGAGGTGGAATTGCGCTAGAATTTGAACACTGACTGGGTTTAAATAATGTATTTTGCAACATTTAGTGACAAAGAATATCAAGCCATAAAAATCACTGCAAGTTCTTTTTAAGAAAAAGGTTAAGTATTAAGTATATTCCCCCCAAAATATAATTTTCTAGATAGCTCTGTTCTATATTGCTCT